CCCTATGTATAAAGCCAGTAAAAAAATCTATCAATATTCACTGCTCAAGGCCTCTATGCTTTTGATGCCGTTACAAGTGGTAAATCTATAAAAGAATAGAAAGTAATACCTAAGATAGACAACAAAGAACAAATAATTAGGTAAACATGAGTTACTTCCCCTTAAAATAGAGAAAACCTGAAACCCAAAAGAACACCCTAAACAGGAAATTATGAAATGTTGCAGGCTCAGTTTTATTAAGCCAAGCAAAGTAATGGTAACGTTTTCATAAAAAGTTAGAAGGCCATGTGACAGCAGTAATTGCAAAAAATCGGATAGCTTTCAACATCCGGATATGGTACACTTGTAAAAACAATCATTCTGGATGAACATGGATAAAATCAGTAGGATAATCGTTTACAACAGTTCCATTACCAATCCTAATGACTCATTTGCAGGTGAACGTTCTTCTTGTAGGAAAATTTTGAAAATATATAAATTAATGAAAAAGAATTGTGGACACAACGATATTCGAAATCCCGGGTTTTAGTATTGCCAATAAAGCGAAGGGACAATCTGTTAAACTGGGCCTGCAATTTCGTGAAAATAATATCACAATGCATATGCTTTTTACATAAAGTTATTAAATACAAATATAACAACATATTTGTTTGCTTGATTTTTACGATTCAAAATAAAAACTAATTAACACAACATGACATTAACTGCTAATAATAACAGCTCCTTCCATAGGCCAAAATAAAAAGCATTCCATAAGAGACGACGCCGCTCACCGGCGTCGCCAATAATAGCATCTTAACATTTGCTGCTCAGCCGGTCACTTTACTTTTTGGTCGGAATGCTGACGTCGTCATAAATATACTAAGATTTAAGGCCCTGTCACACGCTGACACGGATATATATAGGGTATATTAAATGAGTGTAGGTCAATACTGAATTTATTGAACGAGTTTAATAAAATTATGTTATGCGAGCCTGTGACGAGCATGATACTATTTTATTCAACGAGTTCAATAAATTAAGTATTGAACCTAAACGAATATAAAATTCATTTTTATCACATACCCACAATAAAGAATGTTTAAATTTTTCATTTACGTGCCTACACTGTAACGCTTAGATTTAGCGCGTCTTTGTTTGTTTAACGCAAATGGCGGTATGTCAAAATATCTACAAGGCCGTGCAATACCGTTTTTCGGAGTCGTCAAATCGGCAAGGGGTATGAGATAAACACTATGTTTGTTTAACGCAAATGACCTCACGTCAAAATATCTACACGGCCGTTCAATACCGTTTTTTCGGAGTCGTCAAATCGGCACGGGTGTGATAAACACTATGTTTAACGCGTATGATGTCACGTCAAAATATATGCACGGTCGTGCAATACCGTTTTTACGGAGTCGCAAAATCGGCACGGGTGTGTGATAATGGTAAAACTCAACGACGAAAAAAATCATATTGATTGAAAAGCAAATTTTCTAGTAAAATGTACAGGAAACTGTTGTCAGTCAGCTTATTATATTGCGAGTTTTTGCTAAAATATTCCACGCGGTTATCCCCGCTGAATTTTTAGCAGTCCGGCAGTGATAGTGACCGCTCAGGGGGTCCTATACTGCTTTGTGGACCGCTGACGTCACACGATCCTTTTGTAATTAGGGCCCATAAAATAAACTATGTTTTGACTTCACAAAAATTAAATATGTTAAGCTTTAAATCCTACATACTATAAGTCGACACATCATAAATATATAGTGTCAGATTTTTTAGGAAAGGACTAGCTTTACTCGACTCCTAATAGGGAAGTCGATGAAAGGCCTAGCTTTACTCGACTCCTTATAAGGAAGTCAGATTCCTATACATAATTTCTTTTTTTTTATTCAAGACATAGTAAGAAGTTTATATATTTCAATAAAGTTCTGCAATAAAAATATTTTTTCTCAAAGATGTGCATAATATATATTTAAATAAAGAATGAACAGAATTTTGTAAGGTAGACTCTCTATTATATAGCTGAATATGTTTAAAAACATATAATATGTACACACGAAACAGTTTAATTAATCACTTTAAAATAACAGATTCTTTTTCTTAGCTGACATTTTTTAGAAATATTTGGACGTGTACCAAAAAATGCCAGTTCTATTCAATAAAGTCATCAATGTAGTAAACAAATATACATCTCTAATAACTTCGAAATCATGATGAAATTTCTGATCTAATTATTTCAAGTCTGTCATTGTGTGTTTAACCACGAGTTATAAGTGAAGAATATTTTCAAATATACATATCCTATATAAAGTGAGTATAAAATCTATACCATGCCAGATTGTACGTATCAAAATTGTTAGATCTACAGCTTATATAATATAATAATAAATTTGCGTATGAGTTAATTCTATTTCTAAAATCATCAACAAAAAACAGAACAAATAACAAAATCCAAATAATAACATGATAAAGATGATTATATCTGGTGCAGATGAACTTACAGTTCACACTGTATATTAATTGTTCTTCCATTTTTTTTACCAATGTTAAGATGATAGTCATAAATATGAAAGAAAATATCTCCTAATATGCTTAGAATATAAATGTATTTACAGCTATTCACAACAAGAATCACGTTATACTTTAAAGAAGTGTCTCGCTATCTCTTTCGCTGTTCTCTGAATTTACATTCTGATTCTTGGATGAATTTACATTCTGATTCTTGGGTTTTATGAACAAGATCAATTCGAGAACCAGTTGCAAAAGTTCCACGAAAGTCAGAGCAGACGCGCCAAGGAATAACCCAATCGTACCTCCTATATCGGATATGAAACGAACGGGCTGCAAATACAAACGTAATTATATAAATCACACTTAGTCACATCTTATTGTTTTGGATTTGATAAAAGAAACATATATTTCAAAAGTTAACGTATATTTTATTTCCACAAACTATTCATTTAAACTATCTTAAGACATATAGTTTTACTAATTTATCTTTATGTTTCATACTACTAACGGCGACTTATTCTACCCACGTGACCAGTGCATACGAAGATCAGTAGGAATATCTATATCTGATCGAGTGAGACTACGAGTAAAAGGAGGATTGGAGCACCACAATATTCCGTATTCCGGTATATACCGTACAAGGCGCTTGAATGATGAAAGGCTAAAATCTTGCCTTTTTACCCAACGGAATGAACTTTAACAGGTTTAATTCATCTTTTCACACCAATTTATGTATGATAATTAATGAAAAATGTAAAAATCGGCGAAAAAAAAACGATATTTGTGTATTTTGTGATCATGATTTCTGCAAGCGCCTAGAGGTACTGCTCCAATCCTGTATTGAGTTAAATCCTATCTGATCACGGTCTGCAGTGTTCTCAGTTTGGTTCGTACATCTTTTTTAAATCTTCCCTAAAAATGATGAATGCTTCTGTCGGTATTGAAAGATGGGCATGTCCATTTGAAATAATTAGCATGACAAGGGTCATGGAAAAAATGATAAAGTTCGCTGTTAAAAATTATACTCATACTTCATAGATTGGTTCCTCCTCGATTAATTCATAATGCAAGTCTTCAAAATAAATCAGAACTCGTAAGAAGTTGCGCCTATATCTGCAAAAGAAGCAAATGAATTTTGTTAATAGATATCAATAATTTTCTTGAATACTGTCTATTTAGTTTGTGTGCAAGAATACGACCCACGTCAGATTTAACTACAATACGTATTCTTAAGCAAATATGAAACATTTCTCACTTGAATATCATTTATTTTAACCTTCGCACGAAATTATTAACACTATTACATCCTATGTATATATTCATATTTACTAAAAAATAAATACACATTTTGTATGCATTGTTAATTCATACTTGTCGAGTTCATGTGAAGCTAATTTCTCCATGCCGGAACAAGGAGCATCCCAGAAGTCTGAATGTGACTTATTGTTACACACCTCTGTTATCAACACTTTCTGCAATATTGTGGACTTATTTATTTCTTCAAGACATTCATAAAGACATGCAAGGTGGTTAAACTATTTTTGATACAATGTTCAAATAAATGATAGAATTGCAAAGAATAAAAAAGTAGTTTTACCCATGAATATGTAAAGAGATAACAATCTTATACATGCCCTAGAGTTGACGTAAATCGATTATTAAATTAAAAAATGAAAGGTACTTATTGTAAAATGATTTTAACAATTACTTGGGCTACTTGCTGGTAGTCCGGTGTTTCATGATCATGTGGTGGTTGATTATATTGAACGCCGCCCTTCCTTAATGATCTTGTTTTTCATATTTTATACCGCATTAACATTGTATGTCTTTAGTTATGTAATTAATCTATGTAGTGAAAGATATAGACATTCATGCAAATAACGTAATTTTAGTGAATATACATACCAGATAGTCATCTGATGGCCAGAAGGTGGAGGATGTTTTCTTCGTGTAAACAGTCTCTCTGAGAAAAAATATTTCATATGTTCATAAATTTTTAGAAATCATAAGCAAATAAGTTACTAATTTTTTTTATTATTTTGTTATAATAAATGAAATGAAAATTTCTGTTATCTTATACAAATATAAATGACTGATCAACGAAATTCGCTTATGATTAAATCTATTGTTCATAACCAAAAACAATAGTTCTGGGCGAATAATTATAAGAAGTACTTTATGCAAAACTTTGCATTTATTTAGTGGATTCCAGAGTAAAGAATTTTCATGAAATCAAGTTCAAAGTAACACATGAGATAACCTCGAGGTAACATATTATCATTAAATGCGTGTCTTTAGATATTTTCAAAGTAACAGGGAGAATTTGGAGAGGAACTATATAAGTTTTTTTTTGTTCTAATGCCTTTCAATTTTATGTAATAATTATATACATATAAAATGTAAAATATGTGAAATATTGAAATAGATTTATTTAAACTAAAGAAACACATTATCAAAAAATTCCTTGTTTCAGATAAGTTCAGGAAAATATATTATAATGAAAAACATTACATTAGATAACTTCAAAATACATATTATTCGGAAAATCCTTGCCTTCTTCAAAGTAACATATTAACACAAAAATCCTTACTTCAGATAATTTATCACAAAAATCCTTACTTCAGATAACTTAAAAAATTACTCATTATCATGAAAAGTTTTGCTTTAAATACATTGAAAGTAACGTATATTACGAAAAGTTTTGCACTACATAACTTCAAATCAACATATAATCATGAAATTCCTTGCTTCGGTTAACTCTAAAATCACAGATTATCATGAAAAACCTTGATTCAGATGATAACTTTTAAATAACATATTATCATGAAGAACCTTGTATCAGATAACTTTGAAGCAATACATGATCACGAAACGTTTTTGCACTAGTTAACATCAAAGAAACATATTATGAAGGAAAACGCTTGCATCAGATAACTTGAAAAGTTTGTATCAGATAACTTTAAAAATTATCATGGAAGCAACTAAAAGTAGGAAACCAAACGAACACAAAACCCCAGCATCAATTAAATTCAAAGGAACATTATCATGAAATGCACTGAGTCATTTAACTTCAAGTAACACACTGTGACGACAAACCGAGCACGCAAAGCAGCACGTTGTCACGAAAACATTGCATCGGATTACTTAAAGAAAAATGATTAAGTCAATAATTATTGTTAAAAGAGGGAAATGTAAATAATTACCGACAAGGTGGATGGCAATCACAACTTATGTCTCCATTATCCAATTCCACGTTGACCTTCAGTATGCATTTTTCAACTGTAATTGTTAGAGAAAAAACAGCATAACAAATGGATGGTACAATTGAAACCGGAAGAGGAAACTTCCGTCGAAAATGCTCATACGATGAAGGCCACTTGTTATCTTAACCTAATCGATGTTCAGACCTTAGGTTTAAACATTTAAATCAACGAACATGATGAAATTAAAATACATGTACAATAAATAGTAATACTGTTAGGTTATTTTATTGCAAAGTTTTCTTTTCGTAAACACCATTATGGTTCAATAAGTATTGCAACTCACAACATCACAAAAAAGAGAGATTTATCCATGCTTCTAGTTTCTTTTAAATTTTACCGTTTACCCAAATTTACAAAAATCTTTCCCTTTTCTTAGTAGTAGATATCACCCCAAAAACGTCCAATATGTAAAAATTAATTTAAATGAGCGCTTAAAAAACCAGGAGTGGATTAAATATTTTACGCAACAAAATGATATTATCTTATTTTTGAATTGATATTTGTCATACCACAGGAGTATGGAATCGGTTCAATATATATAACCCAACATATATATAGTCAAATATACCCGCTTTTGTTTTATACAGTTGAATAGATGAATGTATTTTCTCTATTACTTTTATTGAAAAGCTGACCATTACACTTATTTGAAAAGTTGACCTAACTGCAACATAACGTACATATACTGAACCAAAAAAGAAACTTTCGCAAAGTATGTGCCAGTTGTTCAAGGGTACCACTTAGATGTACACACTTATATACATGTAGTAGCCTGTAAAACTCGTTTTTTTTGCAAAATCGGTCAGCTAATCCCCGTATAAAAGCCCGATATGTTTATTCAACGTAAAAATCGAGTTTGAAAAGGATTGAAAAACTGTTCTAACATATATATATTCAAACTTGGAGAACGTTTCTTTTTTGTTTCAGTATACAATGAAGCAAATCAAGTATGATTGTCAACAACTGTATTTAAATCAAAGCACTGAATGTACTGATGGGGAGGCTATGACAGAATGTTTCAGACTTCTAGTTTCTTTTCTTTTTGCTTAAAATGAGCTGTTATTTCAATTATTACCAAAATAAGAAGATATGCACATTGCGCTATTTATCCTTACTGTTGTGTTCAACCATTCATATACATGTGTATATGGTTAATATGGTTGACTATTCATTTTACTAATATTCTAGAACATTCATTGAGGTCTACATTCGGACTGTTAATCATGCAAATTTTGAAAAACCTAAACTGTCAATAATAAATGACATACCAGCAAGTATGACGACTGTTCATTATAAGATAACAATAACATTTTACAACTGACGGTTCCTCATCAAAATATTCTAGGACTGTTCATCATAAAACTTTATGTCATTTTAATATTATTGAATGATAATAACAACTGCAAGTTATGCAACATTTTTATTGGACATAAAAATTATACACATTTACATGTACCATAATTGAGATCAATAAGATACTGAGTATTAATATTCATGCTCTACGGACAGAAAGTTGTCCTCTCCAGAAGCAAATCTCGAATAAAATCACGTTTCAGAAAATTATTCCCATTTCATTACTGACAGCGTCGGATAATATGAAAGCTAAATAGTTGTTGAAAAAATACATATCTGCAAAGCTTATTCAAAATTGAATCAACCTAAGTGAAAATTGATCAGGAAGTTATATCTTCTTTTTTTACCGCCAACACTCAACCAACTTATGGTAGTTAATCGATAGATTTTAAACCTCACTAGCTTGAAATATATACTGCGGAAAATCTGTTGTTAACAGGGTTTGCGGTTATTACGTAGAGTTTTCCTTGTCGACCATTTCCCGCAAATAGATGAGAACATCGAAGCGTCAGTGCTATGAATGGTGTTATAAATGGCATGTTTTGGAAGTTTTTGTTGAAACTTCTCCAAATCCCTCCAGAGGCGTGCATGTCGCGGAGAAGGCAAACGGAAGGTCATGGTCAAATCATCATAAGTACCAGAGGTGATTGGTTGGCCTGTCGTGACTTACTCTGGAGTTTTGGCGCTAATAAATGCTGTTTTTGTTGTCGTCAGTCAGAGAGTTGATGCCTTGACAGTATTGTCGTCTCCTTTACCACCAACGAACGAAGAATGGGCTACCAGGAAGATTCTGCTTGAAAAAGACGTCCCCGATGCTATAATCTCGGACATATGGTTATTCCGGCGCCGAGTATAAATAAACTTAAAACACACACACTTTTGTTGAAAACAACAACACATTTTCTGTAGTAATTTTTCAAGTGTTGTAAAATGAATACGAAATTCCTCTTATGCCGCCGATTATTTTTAGAACACAAACATATAAGTTCTTTTTTTTATTTTTCAAATAAACATTAATCACTTCAGCGCGCGCAAATATCATTTTCAAATTAAAGTTTCGTAAGATATGTTAATGACTTACCGATGCTCGACTGTAAGTAATTCGTATATATATGCGTTTTTTTTTTCTTTTTTCTTTTTTCTTTTTTAAAGCTTCTTATTCTTTAATATTTTTTATGTATCTCATAATCTGTATTGAAAATTTGAATTTTATTACACATGGACTATCAAATTATGATGCGTTGCCCTAGAATTGAATAAACTTTCTAATTACACAATACGGGGTCATTCATTTGATTGAAGACTGATCTTTGCGTCTTTCTCTGAAATAATTATTTCCTTGTTAAAACATATTTGACCACATATTTCTGTCATTTAACTGTTCACTTTACTTCCGATTTTTGTTGTACGGAAACACATGTTTCTATTTTTGTTTTCTAATCAATTCGAATCTATAATCAGTTTAATGGGATCACCACCGGTACTACTACATGTACTAGGTACTTTGGTCATGTTTTTTACCCCAAATATTTGAATGTTTCTATTGGGATTAAAATGAGCGCAGTTAACTAAACAACTGGTTGTATAAATCCCTGACCTGTCTAATTCTAATTATGAGATGTAGTGGGTATATTAAGACTTTCACTACAAAATATTCCTAAACAAAAGAACACATGTTTAAATTTATTCCTATACAAATTAAAGATCAGAGTAGGGATCTGTCAATTTTGCCAGACATATTTTTAAAAGATACTTTTATGTTAAATGTTTGATTAATGAATAATGTAAGATGAAAATAATAAGTATTCCTTTTTTATTTGCTAATGTAAAATCTTGTGCTGTGAAATTTTTTCGGAGGGGTCCTTACGGGTTTTGTAGTTAATACGTTTTTTTCGGCGATAATGGTTCAAGAATATAATGTTTTCAAACTATATGTTCATCACCATCAGTGATTTTTTAGTTAATGTATGCAAAAATATTTACTAACAGCTATATGATATAGCTGTTTATGAGCGTTTTTCGCGTACAACCTCCTAGGGTGTACTAATAAGTTAGTTTTCCTTTGTTATCACGCAAGCATGATCCATGTCTCTGATGTAAGCGACAGTTTCGATTATTTGTCTTTAAAAAAATATTAAGGACTACTAATGGTTAAAACAACAAAATGAACATGCATGATAATACGGTGTTGCAACGTTTGTTCTAGTTAATGACCCGTATAAACAGTTTGGTCGCTGCGTAGTAATTTGAAAATTGTTATCAAAAATAATAAGAATATTGCCACCAAATTAAAGCATTTACTTATAAATTTTCATTTATGTTTTTTGTTAAAAGAATATTGATAAAGTTATTATAAAGAAGGGTTTTCATACCAGAACTATTTATTACCAACGTACGTATGCCTAAACCTGATTACCGCGGCAGTATGACGTCACGGAGTAGTGATTTTGAAAAAAAATAAACAAATATTTCAGAGAATTATTATCTTTACAAATTGCAGATATGTAATTGAAGAATGAAAATATTTTCATATTGTAAATGTCTGTGATGAGTGATGAGTCAGCTTAGAAAAAATCAAGGTACTATTTTTTTACCTGATTACCGCGGCAGTAAGATTTGACGAACGGTATTACATTGGGGAGGCATAGCCTCCCCAAAAAGGAAAACGGGCAATAAAAAGGCAAGAAATAAAATCATACCCTGACTGACGCTTCGCTACCTTTCTCTAGGGAAGCGTATGCAGTGATATGATTTTAAGGAGCTTGGAAATCGAAAAAACAGTACGCTTGAAGATAAAATTCGTGAAATGAGCAAAGAAATAATCGACAGATAACACTTGTGGTTCTGTTACATGCGTAATAGGCGGAGAAAAGCCGTTTCATTCGTTGTGTAAACTACTGATAAATAAGAGGATACATTTTACTTTTTTATTTGGATAATTATCCACAAAGTCCTGCGGTCATACAAGCTTCTTTCACTTCACGACACGCTGTCTGATATTAATGTTTTACACGATTAATATTTGACTTACACATTAATATTGGACACCTACCTGCACTGTATTAAAAATACAGTACGGTCAGAACAAAGGAATGACCTCAAAGTAGTAACTTAATTGGATGTAATCTACACGAACTGGAAAATGTCTGACACTATAGACCTTTTTACGACGCGGTCCGTTGCTATGAAAAATCGACCGGAATTAGAATTTTCTCGCGCATGCGCAATCTGCGTAGGGCAAGAAATCCTTCGCCCTACATAGAAATATAGTAAAAGTTCATAGACAAATCCGAGTTAGTTCAAGGTAAACGGTGGAAAATTATATAAAATAGCTTTCAACAAATATAGAAAAGATGACTTTATAGCTTTGTGGCGAAGAATGCCATAAAAAGGCATGGAAAAGATACTTGTTTAAGAATTAACGATCACAGACTGCATGACACTGAGATCATAGTCAACTTATTTGCTGTTGAAATAGTTCATTTAAAAACAAAAGAAATTATATAACATGAAATGGAGATTAATTATCATTCAGAAAAAAATCAGAACAGGTGATAATGCATTTTTAGTGTCAATATACCTGATTTTATCCTTTATCCGATTTGCCTGTGATACAAACAGAAAAATTTAAGTCACATAAAAAGTTTTTAAATAATTGATTTTTTTTTCAAAATATTGAGATGTTAAGATGGGTTGTTTGGAAAAGATATCACAGACATTTTACCCGCTTCTTCGTAAAACATGTTATTTTTAATAATGCACGTGACACAATTTTTCTCTTCTCAAAATCCATAAACATTGATCGGTATATTTAAAAGTTACTAAAATTACCATTTTAATATGCGTAACTGAATAACTATATCATGATATTTAAACGTCCCGGTTCAATGAACAAACGATCGCGTGCCATTCTTTTTGACACTTACCGCCTGACCAATCATGTTATTTAAAGGAAGTGTACAATACAAATTGTATAATATTATGTAATACAGGGGTAATAAAATTTTATCTTTAACACCCTGCTGTTTTAATTTAAATTACTGATGGAAAAGTCGTCTAATGATACCTTGAACAAAGATATGTGTGTGCCCGTTTTGACCATTGAATTATTACTCCCACACATTTTCGTAGATTTCTTAAAAAAATAAATTCACGTTTTCTGTACTTACCGCCTTAAGTCATCCCAAAATTGATATTTTTTGGGTGACATAACATGAAACAGCATCTATTAAAGCTTTAAAGTATGATAAACTGTAGACATCGTTATTGCTTTCTGCCCTACGCAGAATGCGCATGCGCGAAATGCAACATTCGTTGCTATGGAAAATCGTATTGTAAAAAGGTTTATTACATTTGCATGGTCTTCAGAAACGTTTTAAGCGAAAACAAATTAAGCCACCGACCTCATGTTTCGAAACATTTGCCCTTGAACAGTTTGTTTCTATGATTTTTGTTGTCATTTTCCATTGATTTTTGTTTATCATTTTCTCCTCTGTCACAATACAACATGTAATTGAATTTGTATACATTTGTATTATCTTTATTCAGTTTAAGTACGAATACCGACAATTGTACATGAATAGGCAATATTTATGTGTGTCGCAAAACCAATAAAAATCTAAGCGAAGTGAACTTTTCAAACTTGTTTTTGTCAACTGTTTTGTTTAGACTACCTGCTTCCTCTGTTGTGTTGCAGACCGGAAGTGACGTTTTGTTCAGAGGAACTTCATCCGGGGCCTCAGCTGGGAGGCAATTACAAGTTTCAATAATTTCCAAAATACGACAAAACTCGTAGCATGCCTTAGAAAATATAAAAAAAATATACATTTAAGTACATTGTAATTAATTACAATAATAAATGAATAATTACATTAAATATTTTTAGTCCATTTAGAATCATATATAGGAATATATATATCCAGGTCAAACCGAAAACTTACAAACAGGATATGCAATAGATTGGTAAGTCCAACGTTTGTTACATTGACATGTAGCATAGTTGCTCAGAAGAAAAACATACCGAAATGCTGTATTTCTTTTGATATTTTCTTGCAAACTCACGGCCATCACTGCAATTACCATAAGGTTCAGGAAGTCTCAAAATTCGAACCTAATTAAAATGAAGGCGCAGGATACAATAGCAATTTAGAAAAATGATCTTCCCTCTGAAGCAATGAAAAAACAACAATATAATTTGAAAATTAATAAAAGAAAAAAGGTTTCTGTTCTGCGTATGTATTTTCTATTATAGTAATAATAAATACACGAAATATATCGTATATCAAAGATATAAATTTATTGGCTCCACATATATATATACACACAGCTAAAATACTGATGAGATAAATGCAAAACTAAGAAAACTTTACTTCGAACACTATACGACAAAATAAGGCATGTGATGCAAGTTAAACATTGAAATAATTTCAAGTGTACGTATGACATTCATCTGATGTTGAAGAAATCTGATTGCAAACTTTGCATAAAGTACTAAAAAGTTCAAGGTAACGAATGTCCAAAAGGGAAAAAATGCGAGTGTTAAATTGAATAAATGTCTTAGCGCATATGGTTGCCCAGATATTGTATTATTAATCGCATTAACATATTTCTAGGATAGTGTTTTATTTTATCAAGTTGATTCGTGAGAATGACGACCTGACTTGTATATTGAAGGCGATTATTGTGTTATGACGTTATGTTTTAATACAATAACGCAATAATTACATTTTGCTTTTGATATTCGGTATACCTGAGCCAATTACACATATTACTGTGAAATTAGCAATTAAGATATGACTGAATCAAATTTAAGGAGGTTATGCAGATTTGTAAACACCCAAGCAACGCTGTTTAGCACATAAAAATACCTGAATCGTATCCAATAAGTACCTTCTTCCCTATAGTATTATATGACACTAGTGTTTAGGCAATTGTCTAAGGGCAACTGAATGTCAAATCAAAACTGTTTATTTTCTTATTTAAGGTGATTCTGCTTTGTCAGCCATGCTTGTTTTCACTAAAGTCTGTCCAAAGTGAAAGTAGGCCAAAATTCATAGAACAACAAAGCTCTTATGTAAAATGATGAACCATTTTAAAGTACACTTCCAGGTTTATATTTTAAGGACAATTATAAACAAAAATAAAAATGATAACAATAAGAATATTTACCTTGAATGTGCTACATTTCTGAAGACCAAAAACATTCTGTTGCAAAGTTTTATGCACATTTCATGAATGGCAAAATCCTTTTTAAAGTCTGTTTTAGTGCCAACAAAAGCTATTTTTTGCAGCAAATACAAAAATCTTTCAAAACTTAACTCCAAATAAATAAGTATCTCATGTCCTTCTAAGCACATGGCCTCCATTATTTTTTTGTAAACAAGTAGTGCAAGAAAAGAATCATCTTTTATAGCCTGATGAACTACAATTAAAATGAAAACAAAATCAAACTTTAAAATATAACCTTTTTATGTGTAACAGTGAAGTGTGTCTGTTTGTCATGTACACAAGAAATAGGTAAATGATGTTTATTTTCATGGTACTATTTTTTTTACACATGTCATGTTGGCCATGTTTTTTCATAGTCAGATAAACTACTTTCCTAACATTTATGTTTTTTTAAAGTTTTTGTATTTTCTGCAAAAAAAAAAGCTTTTGTTGGCACTAAAATAGACTTTAAACTGGATTTTGCCATTCATGAAATGTGCATAAAACTTTGCAACGGAATGTTTTTGGTCTTCAAAAATTTAGCCCATTCAAGGTAAATTTTCTTATTGTTATCATTTTTATTTTTGTTTAAAATAGTCTTTAAAACATAGAACTGGAAGTGTACTTGCAAATGGCTCATCATATAACAGTGTGAGCTTTGTTGTTATATGAATTTTTGCCTACTTTCACTTTGGACAGACTTTAGTGGAAACAGACATGGCTGACAAAGCGGAATCACCTTAAGTCGACTTCAAAGCAATAGTCATGTCGTCTTTATCACGAATGATCTTGAAAAATTATATTCATTCCAGAAAACATTTGTGGTGCTGGTAAAAGTAAAATATAGCCGTATGCGATAGCCGTATGCGCTTATTCATTTCTTTAAATTTGATTTACTATAACATATTTTGGTTTTTTTTATGTCAGAATAATCATACAGTTTCACTGTAGATAGTTTTTTTACAACGAGTCAGCGATACACTGAAGTGTATCAGATTTCAATGTACAGTTTCATTTATAAACCTGTTGCTTGGAGTATAAAATATATCTACATGTAAAGGTCAAATCGTTTAAGCTAGCAAATATGCGAGGTTTTAAGAGATAGAGACACGCTGATAGTGTGTAGCGTCGAAAAATTTCGGGGGAGCATATAGTCGTCGGATTGTCCGTCCGTCCGTCAGTCCGCACTCACAGAACAGTAATTATGTGGCTAGAGGGACAATAGGTAACTGTTCTTTCTCTTTGATGTCATTCATTCCGTAATGCTTTTATGTGGCTATTTTCTTTTGTGTGGCTAAAAAGAACAATAGAGTGACCAATAGAATAGCCACATTATTACTCTCCTGTTAGAACATCCGTCCGTCCGTCCGTCCGTACGTACGTCCCGAATTCGTGTCCGGCCCATAACTTTGTTATTTGAAGTCCGATTTTAAAAATATTTCACAGAAATGATCAGTATATTATATTGACACGACGTGTCGCGCGCAACATTTTGCTCGCTACCTTGAAGGTCAAGGTCACAGCATGACCTTGCAGCCAAATTGTGTCTGGCCCATAACTTCGTTATTTGAAGTCGGATTTTAAAAATATTTCACAGAAATGATCATCATATTGAGATGACGTGTCGCGCGCAACATTTGGATCGCTACCTTGAAGGTCAAGGTCACAGCATGACCTTGCAGCAAATTCTTGTCCGGCCCATAATTTCGTTATTTGAAGTCAGATTTTAAAACTATTTCACAGAAATGATCATCATATTGAGAAGACGTGTCGCGCGCAACATTTGGGTCGCTACCTTGGAGGTCAAGGTCACAGCATCATCTTCCTGCAAAATCATGTCCGGCCCATAACTTCGTTATTTGAAGGCAAATTTTAAAACTATTTAACAGAAATGATCACCATATTGTGACAATGTGTCAGGCGCAACTTTTGGGTCGCTAACCTTGTAGGTCAAGGTCACAGCATGACCTTGCAGCAAAATTGTGTCCGGCCCGTAACTTTGTTTTTTGAAGTCGGATTTTTAAAGTATTACACAGAAATGATCACCATATTGAGACGACGTGTCGCGCGCAACATTTGGGTCGCTATCTTGAAGGTCAAGGTCATAGCATGACCTTGCAGCAAAATTGTGTCCGGTCCATAAATTCGTTATTTGAAGTCGGATTTTAAAAATATTTCACAGAAATGATCACTATATTGAGACGACGTGTCGCGCGCAACATTTGGGTCGCTTCCTTGAAGGTCAAGGTCACAGCATGACCTTGCAGCACAATTGTGTCTGGCCCATAATTTTGTTATTTGAAGTCGGATTTTAAAAAATATTTCACAGAAATGATCATCATATTGAGATGACGTGTCGCGCGCAACATTTGTGTCACTACTTGAAGGTCAAGGTCACAGCATGACCTTGCAGCAAATTCGTGTCCGGCCCATAACTTCGTTATTTGAAGTCAGATTTTAAAACTATTTCACAGAAATGATCACCATATTGAGGTGACGTGTCGTGCGCAACATTTGGGTTACTACCTTGAAGGTTAAGGTCACAGCATGACCTTGCAGCAAAATCGTGTCCGGCACATAACTTCATTATTTGAAGTCGGATTTTACAACTATTTCACAGAAATGATCACCATAATGAGACAATGTGTCGCGCGCAACATTTGGGTCGCCACCTTGAAAGTCAAGGTTACGACATGACCTTGCAGCAAAATCGTGTCTGGCCCATAACTTCATTACTTGAAGTCGGATTTAACAACTATTTCACAGAGATGAACACCATATTAAATCCACGTGTCGCATGCAACATTTGGGTTGCTACCTTGAAGGTCAAGGTCACACTATCACCTTGCAGCAAAATCATGTCCGGCCCATAACTTTGTTATTTGAAGTTGGATTTTACAACTATTTCACAAAAATGATCACCATATTGAGACAATGTGTCGTGCACAACATTTGGGTTATTTTTACACTTTGAACTTTGTCTGTGACATAACTCTGACACTACAAGAGGTATACCTTCCTGTGTCCAAAACCTATTCGGGGAGCATCACCCGGTTCAACCGGCTCTTGTTTTTTTTTTGTTGTGAAGAGAATTTGTTGATTTGAAGGGAGTTTAATTTGTTGATTTGTTAAGATGGTTGAATATAATTGCGGTGATCTTAATTGATCAGGGTTTATTGGTTGTAATTAGTTGTTTTGGTTGTTGAGTTATATCTGTTGTGAAGATATAATTGGTTGATATTGGTTGAATGTTTGTCTCGTCAAGATATTATATTAGTTGATGCTTTGTTTTGAAGATATATGTAAATATTGGGTGCTTTAGTTAAAGTTGTTTTCTGATGCTGATTTGATTGTGTGAAGTTAATATTGTTGGATGAATGTTTGTGGTTTATACTGTATCTTAGAGTTGTAAAAATATTCATATTTTGTGTTCTTCACTTTGTGGTGATTTTCTTGTTTTGTTTGGTTATAAGTTGTATAGAGCTTGGGCTCGCCAGGTGTCTAGTTTTGTTTCGTATAAAAGACGTATACATGAAAAGATATTTCGTATAAGTGGTTGATAAATGACATGTGTTTGTTTTTGGTGTAAATAATGATCAAAGTTCTTTGTTTTGGGTGTAAATAATAATCAGAGTTTGTTGTTTAAATGTATATATGAATTTGAGATAGAAAAAGATAAAATACCTAAAAAATAGTGTTTACATGCTAATTTTCCAACTGAGAATATTTCAATTTTATGTCAGGCGGTGTTACCCAGCCCCTATATCTTGGAAATTGGTTCTAGTATTTATTACTAATTTTTTCCGTAGATTAAATAACATCAAGGCAAACATTTCTCCTGACAGTTTACTAACTATGTTACTCGTGTCGGTCTTTGCTTTGCACAAAAAAGGAGTTATTTTTGCACGATTCTTGCGTTATTTTCACTCTCCTGCGTTACTGGACGTACAAGGTGATTACTATAAACATAATATAATTTAGTCTTATCGATTAATGAAGTATAGTCGAAACTGAAATTTAAATAACTATTTAGAGTTAATATTTAATTGATATTCTTCTTAAGATAAAAAGAAATGAGATGACCTCTTGGATCATATTTATTCATAAACGATACCACTAAAGCGGTTCAACTGGACGTTCAAAAGGTGTTAGTTTGTAGAAATTGAAATTAGAACATGGAACTTCGCATTAATGAACATATGAAATCTCTATTCACCGGCTCAAAAGGTCTAAAAATATCAAGCATTTTACCATCCGTAAACCTATATTAGTTTCCGATCCAGGACTCAAAGTAATTCCTTCATGTGAAGGCAAAGGGTATGTTCCGTGCTCGTGAAAAACTATCCGAATTCCATATCCAGTCGAAAGATTATCAATATATTCGTCAATTTCAACATTCAGCGTCAACTTCATTGCTGAAATTTCATTCAAAATTTAAAAAAATTTACAAGTCTTAGAAAAATATATAGACAATCATATAAAATTGTATTTTAAATCATTGTTTTTATACTTATATCTATGTTATTTCTTTCTTTACCTTATTTGAAAAAAGTAGTGAAGAAACGATTGCAGTAAAACACAAAGAAATACAAATTGGATTTATTTGAGTAACACCTACCATTAGATGGCCCACTTCTTACAGCCACAAATTCACGATGTGCCAGTGTATAGCAGTTTCCATATTCAGCTGACGTAAAATTCTTCAATTTTCTTTTTAAAAAAAATGTGACATAAAAAAAAATTCTTCTATAGCAATGAATTTTTATAATTGAAGTAGGAAAATAGAATATTGATACTGAAATTTATTGTTGCTGTGATGATGACAGAAAACAACAATTTAATGACTAGCATATCACATGTGACACATCCTAGTATTTCATCGGCCGATACAATTTATCATATTTCGTTTTAATTTATATTTTCAATTCAGAGAACCACTTTATAATAAAAAGATAATTTTTAGCTCAAAGTACAAAGGTTTTTGTTGACTTTTATATGATCAAACAATTTTCATAAACGCTACTTACCGATCTTTTTGAACCCTTCCTGCAAAAGTAACATTCTGGACCATATCTTCAAATTGGTGACCCATTTTTCTTCTCAGATGCCTTATAATGAAAATGACGTTTTTTTGTAAACTCTCTACGATATAACACTCCATGCGGAAAACACTAATATGACAATTCTATAAAATGGTGTATATATCTGACCATTGTTAACGCATATGATTGGTGTAATGGTTATAATTTTCAAAACGGGTGATTTAGAATTATATGAAATTAATCAATTTATACTGGTTGCTGGTGCGTATATCTGGCTCGTAGATCAACATTTACAGACATATTTTACTTCATGACAAAGGTACATAGATTATTTACTGGCACTTTCTATACAGATAAGATACAAACATACTAGAAGATGCATATTAAATGACAGCTATGACTTTTTAACTTTTGATTTACCCTAACAAGTCATGCTTTACTGAAATGGAAGAGCCGACTGAAGTATTACTTCATTAAATTAGCATAATTTTATTTTATTTTTTTAACAAAAATAAAATATGTTTTAAGAAGTTGCTAGCTTTTTTTATTGCTCTGCATTTTAGAAGTACTTTTCATGCAAATAGTATAACACAATAATACTACTTACATAGGTTTGATTTTTATAGCTTCTTTAAAATTTTCAACACGTGCATCCCATTCATCTTTGGTTAGCCTTAGTTGCTTTAAGTACAATTCCTCTTCAAACCAATCGTCCCAGTAGAAATCCTCGTACAGATCATAATAATCATAATCATAATAATAATCATAATCATCATCATAATCATAATCATAATCGATTGTACTACTAGTTAATTCATCGGATTGTCCATTATTTGTCACTGAATCAGAGTTTGCTTTAGTAACCGCATCTTTTGTCACTGAATCAGAATTTGCTTTAGTAACCGCATCTTTCGTCACTGAATCGGAACTTGCTTTAGTAACCGCATCTTTTATCACTGAATCAGAGCTTGCTTTAGTAACCGCATCTTTTGTCACTGAATCAGAACTTGCTTTTGTAACTGAATAAGAAGCAGCTTCTGTTGCCTTTGTAGTTATGTCTGCATCTCTTCTATTTCGCAGACCTTCCCCATTTTGTCTTACAGTTTGTGTATTCTTGAGTTGTTCATGGTTGTTTAATTTTAAACGTTTCTCTGTGTTTAAGTAAGAAAAAGTGAACTTTTGAAAAGAAACTTTTGGTTTATTTTCACGACGAACATCAGTGATGTTATTGTGTTTTCCTTCCGCATGTTTGTTTTCCTTGATTATTTTATCGTTTAGGCTTCTTGTCAGGGCTTTGAACATCGCTTTTCCTTCAGTCTCCAGCAGATGTTTATTTTCTGATTTAGTTCTTTCGATATCCCGCTTTCTTCTTGCGTAAACCTTAATTAAATTTGAAAAACAACAAATAACACCACTTAAAGCATTGTTTTATTATTTAAAAGAATTATATAATATAATGAATTAAGCACATGAAAGGTAAAAATTATGTTAGCCAAACTGCTAAGAGTGAGTTATTAAGCTTCATTATAAATGTTCAGTTAAATTGTTTGGAGATGAAATTTGATCATACAAAGTTTAATAGTAAATAGAAACGGATAATAACTGAAAGAAATAGAAAAGAACACAAAGAATGTACATGTGTATAAAACAAATTTGGAATTAACTAACTAATCAATTAACTAACCGTCCGACCAACTTACTAAATGTGCATTCTGCAGAAACGTAATATTCTATTATCAAATGATTTTTTTTTTGGTGATCAAAGATGAATATTAAACCAAAGTGTGTGACACAAGAGTAAATTAAATTTGGAAAGGATGTTATAATGATTGACACACGAATATAAATAGAAAGGGAAAAGGAGAGTAATGTAACGAAATATATAACTGAGTCGCGCCATGACAAAACCAACATAATGCGTTTGCGACCAGCTTGGATCCAGACAAGCCTGCGTATCAGCACAGTCTGATAAGGTTCCATGCTGTTCGCTATCAGTGTCTCTTTTTATGCCCCCGGGCATATAGTAATTGACCCGTCCGTCCGTCTGTCCGTCCGTCTGTCTGTTTGTCCGTACAATGTTAACCTTGAACGGCAAGTTGTATTTTTCTTAAGTTCTACCTGTACCAATGGCTTTATAATTTACACACTTACTAATCCATACAAAGTATATGATCTGGGCAAGTGACATAACTATGGCTTCCATTTGCACCAAGTTATGGCCCTTTTCAGCACTAAGAAAATGAATAATGGCCATGTAAACACGCCAGCTAAAAATAGCCTGCCTTCGCGGAGTGATATACTTGCTGTGAGCAAACCTGCCAATGTAAACAATGACAATAGTAGTATATTTTCGGATAAGTCTACACGTAAAAGTCATGAGTCAAGATCGTCGCAACGAAACTATACAAGCCGTCGTGAATCTAAATCACCGCCACGCCGACATTCGGCCAACAGTGACCGCAGTCGAAATAGTGTAACACGTGGTCGTGCACAAGATAGACACTTGTCAAATATCAATACGACCATTACTCGCCCATGGGACTTTAACCAAAGCCAACCTGCTTCGAGTTCTGGTAGAAATAGTAACATTTAGGACGTTAGGGGGAATTCCGTATTCGATGAACTAAAACTAGGATGTTTAAATGTGAACGGGCTCAGAAAACGTATAGACTATCCAGACTTTGTAGAACATATTCATTTATATGATATATTTTGTATTGTTGAAACCCATATTGATAGTTGTGATGTAGTAAATATTGATGGATATTCTTTTTTGTCAAAGAATAGAATGCAACCTTATAAGCGTAAATCAGGCGGCATAGGTATTTACATAAAAGAACTTTTTTCCAAATTTATTAAAGTAATACCAAATAATAATGAATACATATTATGGGTTAGTATTGACAAACAGTTATTATCTACTACCGAGAATATTATTTTAGGTGTAATTTATCTTCCACCGGAAAATTCTCGTTTTGTAAACGACATTGATGTAAACAATCTCGAAAACGAAATTATATCCTTTTGTAGCAGAAATAAATACGTAATGTTGACGGGCGATGTCAATGGCAGGGTTGCGCAAATGTCTGACTTTTTACCTTCAGACCCGTTTTTAAATGACATTTTTGATATCGACTCGGAATCAAGGAACCATTTTGATAAGTATACACTTTTAGAAAATTTGGCTATCCCTCTGTCCAGGACATCGAAAGATAAAAGAACTAACGCGAACGGTTTAATGCTTATAGATCTTTGTCGCAACAACAATCTTTTTATAGCCAATGGCAGACTTGGTCGGGACAAAAACGTTGGCGAGTTCACATTTAGAGAAAAATCCGTCATTGATTATCTCATCGCTAGTGCTGACTGTTTTGAATTTATTGAAAACTTTAAAATTTATGATCCTCTCTTCTCCGACGGACATAGTGCGCTTTCTTGGTCGCTAAAGTGCATAAGCACCTTCAAAATTCCACTTAAAACTAGTGCGTCTAACAACTCAAAACCGTTTTGGAGAGATAGCTGTAAGGAAACGTTTGTCGAAAATATTAATCAACAACATGTGAATGACATCATTAACTCGTTAGAGATGACAAATATATCGGTCGAAAATGTTACCTCAGAAATACAATCTTTGTTTGAAAATGCTGCATCGTGCTTAATCCCGAATTTTAATGAACGCGAAACAATCGGCCATGGTTCGGTCCTAAATGTAACAGCGCCAGAAAAAATTATCACAACGCAAAAGCGTGCTATCGCGATAACCGCTCGAGCGATAACAAATTAAGGTTAAAAAATGCAAGCAAAGAATATAAACTGACAATGAACTTTTTTATTGAAAAATATAAAAAAGGAAAAGCTCACAAACTTAGAAATATGCATTCTAATAATCCTAAGCAATACTGGCAGTTCCTCAAAAAGTTAAAACCCAATCCTACGTCAAGCGATTCTCCTAATATAGAAGAATTTTATAATCACTTCATGCGTATTAATTCGAAACCTAATCAAAACAACGACGAAAACAATGTTTTAAACGTAGAAAATTTTATTGATAATTCAAATGTGTTTCTAAATAAGGCGATAACTAATACAACATGTAATGAAATTATCAGGTGTATCGATAAATTGAATAACGGGAAATCATCAAGCCCTACCGACAATATTTTAAATGAATATATTAAAAGTACAAAATATCTTCTTTTACCTGTATATAACCGCCTATTTAACGTAATTCTCGACACAGGTATAATTCCTAAGTCTTGGCTGGAGGGTACAATTATCCCGATATTTAAAAATAAAGGTAATCCTAACGAATGTGGAAATTACAGACCTATTACAATTCTATCATGCCTGGGAAAACTATTTACAGCAATATTAAACTATAGATTAACAAGCTTTTTAGAAGAATTTAATTTACTTAATGAAAATCAAGCCGGCTTTCGAAGCGGTTATTCTTGCTCTGATCATATCTTCACTTTACATGCACTTATTGAGATTCTTAAAAAAACGTAAACAAAAATTTTTTTGTGCTTTTATAGATTTTTCACAGTGTTTTGACAAAATTTGGAGACATGGTTTATGGCACAAATTACTTCAAACCTAAGTAAATGGTAAATTTTTCCAAGTGATCTTCAATATGTACCAAAATATTAAGTCTTGTGTTTTGCATAATGGAGAACAGTCTCCGTTCTTTTTATCTGAGATTGGGGTTCGTCAAGGGGAAAATTTAAGCCCTGTTCTTTTTTCACTTTACCTTAATGATTTACAGACATACCTCGAAACAAATGGTGCCACCGGAGTATTGCTAAATGACCCTATTACTGATGAAACCTGGCTTAAACTGTTGCTTTTGCTATATGCAGACGATACGGTCATCGTCTCGAATAACCAAGTTGATTTTCAAAGGAATCTAAACTACTTTCATGATTATTGTAATACATGGAAATTAGAGGTAAATAAAAATAAAACTAAAATTATTGTCTTTGGTGCTAGAAATATTTCAAATTATCACTTCACTTTTGGTAATGAACCAATAGAAATAACGGATAATTACCATTACTTGGGAGTAACATTCGCCAGCAATGGATCTTTTTTGAAAGCCAGAAAGCATGTAGCCCAACAGGCTAGTAAAGCCATGCACCTCCTATTTACTAAATCTCAGAATGCAGACTTACCTGTTGACCTGACAATTAAACTTTATCAACATACTGTTCTCCCTATTTTAACTTATGGATCCGAAATTTTCGGCTATGAAAATTTGAACATACTTGAAAAAATAAACAATGATTTTCTAAGAAGAATAACTAATGCGCGTAAGAGCACTCCACTTTACATGCTTTACGGTGAAACAGGCACACTTCCCGTATCAATAATTGTTAAAACTAATATGATCTCGTTTTGGACTAGATTGTTACTGGGAAAAGAGCACAAAATTTCTCTATTACTTTACAATTACATGTCAAGTTTAAACGAATATAATTTTAAATGGATCTCAATAATTAAAAAAATTCTAAATTTGGTGGAAAGACCAGATATATGGCTATCCAAACAAATCGCTGATAATAAAAGTACCCATAACGTAATTAAACTGTCGTAAATAGACCAATTCAAACTAACCTGGCACGACCAAATGCAGCTTTCAAACAAAGGTTTTCTCTATTTTGTTATACAATAGCTTTAAACACTATGTGGAATATGAAAAATACTTTAACGTTCTGACTAGAACAGACTATTTTACTTTTTTTAAATTCCGAACAAGTAACCATCGACTTCCAGTCGAAACAGGCCGTTACGATGGAACACGGTATGAAGATCGCACGTGCCCTCTATGTAATTCAAATTCTGTCGGTAACGAACAACATTATCTGTTGTACTGCGAGCATTTTAGCGACAAAAGAAATACCTATCTAGGAAATTACTATTTGAGATATAATGATCACTCTTTTATTAACTTTATGCAGACAACAGATGAGGAAAAATTATCGAATCTATGCAAATTTATAAGAGCTATATTTAGTAAATTCCAAATATAAAAAAAAGCCATGCCGCCTTATTTGCAAATAAGTTAAGTACTATTTCTTACCTTAACATGGTAACATCCGTCTGTACACATTTTTTGACCTATAACACACTTTTTCATGTCATCTTTAGCTGTAACTTTGCTGTCTATGTTTAGAATTGAAAACACACTTTCTCCTTTTATTCGTGCTTTTTTTTAATAATTGACCGAACTACATAAATCATTAATACTCCACGAAAGAAATAGATTTGGTAAATCATATGATTTATACCTTTTTATTTTATTTTATTGTGTCTTTTTAAATACCAAAATAAGCAGTTTATTTCCTACCAACATTTCACAATACCAACAACTATGTCTATAATACAAGATATGATTCGATTTTTTTTTTCAATATTATAAACATGTACATGAATTTATGTCAATTTCATTTTGACAGGTGATCTGCTCCAATGTCTAAATTTAGAATGACATGTGAAATTGACGTTTTACACTGTTTATTTACTATTTCAGTACATATGTACTTATTGTAAAGTAAGCATGCGGGTATGAAGTTCTATTATGTAGTGAATTCCCCCATGATATATGATACTGTATGCATAAATAATTGTTTTTCTATTTTATTCTTTTCCTTTTTTTTTCTATTGCTGATCTCTACCGGAACCATATATTGCTTAATTTGTGTTATTTGCATACATCCTCATGTTGTATTTGTAATACCTTGATCGAAAATAAAGTTTTCTGTCTGTCTGTCTGTCTGTCTGGTTAACCTAAACCGGCAAGTTGGAAATATCTTATGTTCTATCTGAACTAATGGCTTAATAATTTTCACACTTACTTATCAATACAATGTACATGATATTGCCAAGTTATATAAATGTGCCATCCATTTTCCCAGTAATTTCCCTTTTTATCACTTTGAAAATTGGGCCTTGTATGGTTAACCTATTCCGCCAAGTTGGATTTATCAAACATTTTCACCTAATTACTTAATTTATTTAATGATATCTTTCATATTTGGTATGTGGATACCTTTAACGGTTCTCTAATTTTTTGTGGCGTTAGGCGTCTCTAGGTCAAGGTCACTTGTGTTAAAAAATAAATCTAAACATTTCTGCTCATACAGCCTTTATTTTGAAGTTAACGTCTTTCATGTTTATAATAGTCATACCAAGGAAGGTCTTCCTTTTCCTTTAGTAAGGGGTCATTTGGGTCAAGGTCACCAATGTCAATGATAGATTTTTTACACTTTTACAGGTGTATTAACTTTATTCTATCGACAGATGTCTTGTATATTTTGTAGGAACATAGAATTGAGGTATTCTCATTTGGATGGAGGTAGGGGTCAGTTGGGTCAAGGTCACCAGTGCTTAAAATAGATTTTTACTCTTTTGCTCATACAGCCTTTATTTATTGACATATTTGTATTATTATTGGTAGGAAGATAAATTACATGGTATTCTTCCTTTGGATGGAGTTAGGGGTCAGTAGGGTCGAGGTCAACAGTGCTAAAAATAGATTTTTACACTTTTGCTCATACAGCCCTATATATTGACAGATTTAATCATATTTGGTAGGAAAATAAGTTGCATGATATTCTTCCTTTGGATGGAGCTAGAGGTCAGTTGGGTCAAGGTCATCCGTGCTAAAAATAGATTTTTTACACTTTTGCGCATACAGCCTTTATTTATTGACAGATTTATTTCATTTTTGGTAGGAAAATAACTTGCATGATATTCTGTCTTTTGATATAGGTAGGAGTCAGTTGGTCAAGGTCAAGGGTGCCAATTACAGATGTCTACACATGATTGGTTTCCTTCCATACAAATTAGCTTATTCACTCGCTAAAGTTAATTTATTGACAACAGTGAGCGCGGGGCATTCGTGTTTAACAAACACAGATTCTTGTTGTTATACGATTTGTAAGCGAACAGCATGGATCCTGAACACGCGCAGCCATTGGTCGAAAACGCATTCTGTTGATTTTGTCATGGCGCGGCTCAATTATTTTGCTACAGTACCTGATCCTCTGACAGGAGATCCCGCAAGTCTTCTGATCTGTGAAGCTGGGATTTTCGTACCGGGTTCAAGTTACACAAAGTAATGGCAGGGAAAACAATAGGACTTAAGTCTAGCGTCACAGATGTTTGTGATGGATACGAATAATATGTTCTTTATATTAAAAGAAATCAAACAAAAAATTAAAATCTGAAAAATAATGATTTTATAAAGACAAATACATAGTACACTTTCATTTAAAATACATTACGCTTTTATTTTTGCTTCCACATAATGACTAAGTAATATCGAAATTAAATTCAACTCGTGTACATTATTTAAAAATTGTTGGCTTTTTTGATATATGATATTGCTGACTGTCTTTCATTGATTTAATTTGCGAAAGATTTTACATTATACAACAAATCAATTAAATTTCTCTAAAAGAAGAATATAGAATATACATGAATTGTTTGAGGAAACCTGTGAATTACAAAAAAGTAGTTTACATTATTTTCAGCATAGCAAAATTGTTTTCTATGTATTTAAAATAGATATTCGGATTCAGATTGAATGAATATATGGTAAAACGGTAAAAATTAAAACTTACTTAAATAGCAGGTACAGTTGAAAATTGACTACAGCAAATGCTGCTAGAACCAATATAGACCACAATACTTTCACAACAATCTGTTCAGATGACACAATCTTTGTTATACCATGCAAAGAACTTGATTCAGCCAATTTCTAAAACAAACAAATATAGGGCTAAAAATGTGATTTGATTTTAAATCCGATGGTAAAACAAGAACTGAGAAGGAAACTCTTGGCAAGTATTTATATCTTACTGACATTCAACCACCCATCTTACGAAAAGCTCATTCACTACTATACCTAAGTGGTTATAATTCCTTCTGTTCTAATTATAACTTGTCCTCAAGTCATACTCGTAAATATGATTAGTGATGATAGAATTACAAATTGTCCATTCGGCATGATAATTTAACCCAATAATTTAACCCAAAATTTCAGTTTTCATAAAAGATATATTTCAATTTAATTCATGTAAAAAATTAAATTTGAAAAAATGCATCATTTTGGCATGATTTTGCTACATTTGTATATGATTACCATAAATGTCATTATATATTTCACTACTGCACAGGGCAAAAAATATGAAATAAAAACAAGAAATAAAAAAAAAAAAAAAAAAAAAAAATAAAAAAAAAAACAACAACAAAAACATACATTTATCATTTATTTGGAATTAACTTCGATATCAACATTAATATTTTTTAGTATCATGTACAAGAAAATTCCAAAAACTTTAATATTATTGTGTTAAGTCCCTAATTAATATACGTTTCTTTTTAATGACTTTCTTCGATTTGGCGGCCGACGTCTATTATTTTTCTATTTCATTTTCAAAGATATTTTCTTAACAAAACAGTGGATAAGTAAAACAAAATAAAAGCAGTGAAAATGAAGGAAAAATGCACCTTCTTTTCAATAATTATCTTTTTAAATTATTATTATTATTATTATTTACCAAACTTATACAGCGCTCTTTTCATATACATGTTAAAAGGCGCTTTACAGTGAAATAAGCTGATTACTTAATTACAATTTACAATATTATTATAAATAGTTAGACATTTTTAAACCATAAATGTACAACATATTTAAATGAGAACAAAATTAAAAAATATAGTATTTAACTAGTCGTTTGAAGTAAAAACATTAAACATCACAATCACGATAAAATAAAACAATTATCTAACGAAATTTCGAAATACACAAAAATATTTAAAAACTTACAATCGGCATCTCAATTGCAGTTATAGTTACAACAATTTACACAGATTATATACTGTTCTTAAAAATAATAATCGAATAATATATATCAATATGAATTCATTTGAGTCATTCAGGTCCTGCACTATGATCGTTTTAGATGACGGGGACCTGAGATTAATGTTCCATTTGATGTAGGTCTACACTAATGCAGAATTTCTGATCATTTGCTCACCCCGTTTTTCAAGAATAATTACTCTTATTTTAAAAAATGACCCAAAAATGAGAAGTTTAGCGTTGAAACATCTTTCACTCAAATCATGCAAAGAATAGCACGAAATACCCTTTTCTGATTATTTCTGAGTATATTTTTAATTATATGTTGCATACCTTTCTGTTTTAAATGCCCCGATTGAGCTTAGTAAGAATTAAAAAAAATATGTTTTGAGGTGCAATAATTATGATTTTAAAAACAAATTATTGAGTATACAGTGTAACACTTTTCGGTCTTAACCTGTTTACAAATTAATTGTTACATGTCCCTATATTTATTTATTTATTTCATTTGAGTCAAGCATGTACACATAATATTTTATCATACAAATAGTAAAGTATAAACTACGAACGAGGTCGTTCTTTAAAAAAAGACTATTTTCGTAAATGCAATATATGTTAAGGTATACATATCATATTTTAAATGATAAAAAAAACAATGTCTGTTAATCATAGCCTATTAATTCCTTTCATTTCATTAAAATTTGTTTTAAAAGGATATTGTTAAGTAAAATATACCCTACTTATTAATTAGAGTTTAATACTTAGTTATTACTCGCCATTATATTATATATTATATTACACAGACGGTCGGTCACCAATCGGTCATTTAATTTTAAATTTACTCGCTGTTATGATCGGTTGTCATGCGTGATTTATTTCTGGTTTTCTGTGTAAACGGCCATCGGTAACAGAAAGCAAACTCAAACAGGAATTGGTTGATGATTAAATGCTGAAATACTTTTGGCTTTTATCGTTTGTAAATCGGAGCTAAATCGGGCGTAACGCTGATTAATCGGTGTTTGATAACTAGTCATCAGTGGTTAAACACTTTCCGTGAGATATGGCCGGTGATTCATATTTGGTTATCTTTGTCCGATCGGCGATATCGGTGATTAAGAGCTTGCATATCTCGTGATATAGGTTGCTGTCGGTTATTTTTAAAAGATTTTCACCGATCGAGAATTTTAAACATGTTTAAAAATCCAAATCGGTAATTTTTCACCGGTGAAACTTATATTTCCCCAATAGCAGTTGATAGGTGGAAAACCGGTGACCAATAGGTGATATCGGTGTTAAAAACGTTGTCATCGGTTCACTCCATAATTTGGCTAAAAAAACTACCGATCAATCACCGATGGCTCTGTGTAACTAGGGTGTTAGTCAGAAGATGTCCATTATGGACCGAGGGTATAACTGGTAGCATCTATGACGGGTCTGCATAACAAAACAGTGTTTCGACGTCGTCACTAATCTTGTTTGTCTAAGAAACGGTGTTGTCATCGTAAACAACTAGGCCATCTGTCATTCAGTTTACTTACTACCAGAAAACTCGATATTCTTATAAACATGATAAGACGAGACAGTGTTATATAGTTGTTGTGGATGTTCTTTATTTGCAAGAATAATGTTAAGTGTTAGTTCTTCCTGTGAAATGGAGTACTTTAACGGATCTGATGTTGCCAAGTCACAAATAAACTAAGCTTTTGAAGCCCTCGGCCTGCAGCCCACATGTCATACTTGATGTCTTTAAAGCTTGTTTCTCAAAATTTGACTTAGTTTCTGAGATATTTGCTCTTATTTCTAATTGACCTTCCAATGATGGACTTATTTATAAATAGCTGAAAATAACTTTTTTTGTAAAAGCTAGAAATATTTTCTGCCTACAGTGCAATAATCGTTGTGAATTAATGCATCTGAATTTTAGCCAAAATGCGCGGAAAGTGCTGTATGTGTTCAAAGTTCAGGTTAGTAGGACAAACATGAGAATGGCATCGCAAAGGGCGGATACATATAAATTATCATTTGTATGTGCACCTTATTATAGATATAGTTATTGATGAGACCGATGTTGAAGTTACTTCTTATAAAGTCAAATTAAAACAAATGCACAAATTCCCTTTTTCGTTACTTTAATAATGGTTGCAATCAAATGAATTATTTCCATTTTTTTGTTTGTTTATTCCTTGAACATTAATTATAAACATGACACTTAAGAGAGTCTCAACATTCGAATTTTAAAGAAGTTGTAACCATATAACATAGTATTAAAGTAGTTTGAACAGCACATCTTCATAAGAAATATATTCTGTCCAAATATAAACTACCCTAATCTACTTACCATCTTTATTTCCCAATATTTTTTTTAATTACAGTTGTTAATGGTGGCTGATTTACGCCATGTCGTTTTTTTCGCTTTGTTGCCTCGAAAATGCGAAAAAGCAAAAACACGAAGAGACAACAAAGTTGGACTTTGTCGTCTCTTCGTATTTTCGCTGTTTCGCATTTTCGAGGCAACAAAGCGAAAATACGACAAAAGGATGGCGAAAATACGACACATAAAATCTGTCGTATATTCGCATTCCATCTGTCGTATTTTCGCTTTTTCGCATTGTTACATTTTCGCATTGTTGCATTTTCACTTTTTCGCAAAGTTACATTTTCATATTGTTACATTTTCGCTTTTTCTCATTGTTACACTTTCGCGTTCGTTCTCTTATTGATTTTCGGGGAAAATGGGGAAGACGGGAAATGAAAAAATCAAAGATCTTTGGTTTGGAAAGTGACTTAAAAGCCTGTAACTCTCAAATGGTAAATTTAATGCCAAACTAATGCGAATAAACAAATTATTTTAATATTATTATATTATATTTTAAATGCAAATAGAAGCCACTGAAGAAGGCTGAATGATTCGGAAACTATGACGACCTCAAAATGTTTTTTCAATATGTGGTTTTCTTCTTTCTTTTTTATTATTAAATTAAACTATCAAACTTTTATCAAATAAACTTAATCCAACATGCCTCTCTACGTTGTCAAATAAAGTCTGTTTTTAATAAACTCTAAGTACTAGAATTAACAGATATTATAAAAAGAGTGTTTTTCCTGCTGACAATACAACCTCAATCACAGACAATATCTATTGAAAGAATGTGTGCGGGCAGTGCCTTTTATTCATCACACCCCGTCAGCAAAAATAAACTGGATAACACTAAAGATGGTAGGAACAGATGACTGTATTTATTTATAACAATTGTTGCATTTATTGATATTAGACAGGTTTGATTTTGGGAAAATGTTCATCCTAACGGCATTTTTAGTACAAGCAGGTAGTTGGGCTTACTTACCTATTTCGAGTACGCTGAATTCATTTTTTGCTCTACCACGGCTTTATTTTTAGTCCTTGATCTTTTAAAAATCAGTCCAAAATGACAGCCATTGTTTATTTATTGTTACTTTAATTCTCTTGTAGGCAAAATAAAACACATCTTTTTAAAAATTAATTGAAAGCTCTGCTTATTTCAGTCGGCTGAAGTGTAAACGAGAAGAATAAATGAGGAAAAATAGATAGATGTAATGCGGCAACCATCTTAGTTTTAAAAATGGCTGGCAATTTTCCTTTAAATATACTGTTTAATATTTAACGTAAACGCGGAATAAGGTTTTTTACTTGGCTTGTTTTCTTTTAAAATAATAAATAAATGATGACTTTTTCCGACAATGTCGGAAATTTTTTAAATTTTAATTTCTTTTATTATAATAAATAAATGATGACTTTATCCGACAACATAATATATAACTTAAAATCTATGTCACGAAAAGATATTGTATTATGGACAAGACCTAAAACAAATTATATCAAGACACATTTTCTTATTATGGCACAAACATATGAAACA